ACTTTTCTCCTGGTTCGGGAGCAGACAGGATCAGAGGGCTCTGCATATATTCTTTTAAACTAGTGAGCGCTTATCGCTGTTCGTCCCCCCAGGCATGTCTCCCATGGTTTCGTATGGTATCAAAGAATGGCTTGTAACGATCTGACAGCTTATAAATAAACCGGCTCAATGCAGCTATTCGACCTGTGAGGGCTTGTACTTCTTTAATTGTTTTTGGTTCAGCATTCTTGGTCAGAGCTTCTGCTTGGGCTGGGCTAGCCTCGATTCCTCTATGATTAACCACATGTCCTAGGAATTGACTAGAACTTACATCGAATGAGCATTTGGTTGGATTAAACTTCATTCCATATCTTCTCAATACCTCAAACACGTCCTGCAGATGCTTCAAATGGTCAACTCTTCTCTTGCTTTTCACAACCATGTCATCAATATAAGCCTCTACAGTCTTCCCCATCTGATCCTTGAAAATCTTGCTGATCAGCCTCTGATAAGTTGCCCCAGCATTCTTTAATCCGAACGGCATAACTTTGTAGCAATAGGTCCCTCGTTCGGTTACAAAAGAAGTTTTCTCCTCATCAGCCGGGTTCATGGGGATTTGATTGTATCCTGAATAAGCATCCAAAAAAGTTAAACGTTCGTATCCAGTAGTGGCGTCCACCATTTGATCAATCTTTGGCAGCGAGAAACTATCATTCGGACAAGCTTTGTTTAAATTAGTGAAATCAATGCATACTCGCCACTTCCAATTCTTCTTTCGCACAACTACAACATTCGAAAGCCAGTCTGGGTAATATACTTCTCTAATGAATCCCACATCAAGCAACCTATCAACCTCCTCGGCTATGATCTGATTACGTTCTTGAGCGAATCTTCTCTGCCTCTGCCTTACAGGCTTCGTGTTCGGATTGATGTTGAGGGAGTGGCAGGATGCTGAAGGGCTTATTCCGGGTATGTCCGAGTGGCTCCAAGCGAACACATCAGCATTCTAAGATAAGAAATCAATTAACTCCCGTTTCTCTTCCTCGGCAAATCTTATTCCCACTCTGGTTGTTCGTTCCGGTTTGTTATAATCGATCTGCACATCAATAAGGGGTTCTTCGGTCAAGTTCCCCAACTCTTCCTCCCTACTTTGGCTGGGTGGAGGCTCCTGTACTTGCTATCTGGGGCTTGAAGAATGAACGGGAGTTTTTCCCTTTGCAGCAGATTTCAGCGTCACAGAATAACATTCCTTAGTTGCAACCTGGTCCCCATGAATGTCAATCACCTTATTTCCGTCAGGCCCCAGGCATCTCATCACTTGGTGCAGAGTTGAAGGTACACCCTGAACTCTGTGAATCCACCATCTGCCCATCAGAAGGTTGTAAGATGGATGGATCTCAACAACCACAAAGCTTTCTATCAGAACTCTTTCTGCAGCCTACGCTGCGACTTCTACCATACCGACGGGTTCCACCCGTTTTCCATCGAACCCTAGCAAGGGATTTGCAATGGGCTTGAGCCTCTTGGGTTTTATTTCGAGCCAATCGAACGTGTCCCTCGGCATAACATTCGCGATACTTCCAGGATCAATCAGGACTCGTCGTACCAGGCACTCCGCTACTGTCAGACTGACGACTAACGGATCCTCATGGGAAATTTGAACACGTAACAGGTAGGTTCTGTCAAACTTTATCTGTGTTGATGCGCTCTGCTGGTGCAGAGTGTTTCACTGCCTATCCTCCTCTTCATCTGTGCCTGGCGGAGGCATGTTCGAAGCAGTTCATCTGACTCCTCAGTGGGTTCTGGCCGATCGTGAATTGCATTAATTATTCGACCTGGTTGCGAGTTGTGGGAGCTCGGCTTCTGATTCCTCTTCACGTGCTCCATCGGTCGGTTCTGTTCTACCGTCGGGCCTTGAATATAACTTGCGAACTCCCCTCTGGCTATCAGCATCTCTACCTGTTTCCTTAAGTTTCTGCACTCATTAGTCTGATATCCAAAGTCAGAATAGAATGCACAATGCTTAGACTGGTCCCTTTGTTCGAGGGGCTGTCTAATTGGTAAAGGAGATCGGAACTTATCTTTATTTTCTTGGTATAGCCTTGCCAAAGTGACTTTTAATGGAGTAACCAGCTCTTCCTCTATGAGCCTCTTCTCAGATTTCCAGGAGGTCTGATGCTGTGGCTGAACCTGCTTTTGCCAGATCTTTACTTTGGTTTTCTCTTCTGTTGATGTGATGGATGTCTTCCGAGCATTAGCTGCCTCTTCTTCTTCTAAACGCACAAAACCATCAGCTCTTTCATTAAGTTCATCCATAGTCTTCGGCGTATTTACTACCAAGCTTGTGTGGAATGGAGTGCCACGAGTCATGGCCAATTTAAACACTTGAACCGCCGTAGAAGGATGACATTCAATCACTATGCTCTCAGTAAGGTTAAACTTGGTAAGAAAAGCTTGGAGACGCTCGTCCTCATGCTGCTTCATTGTGAATAGGCTCAAAATGTCCTTTGCTGGACGTTTATTCCCATAGTACTGGCTTATGAACCGATCGCATAAACTTCGGAAACTATCCACTGAGCCCCTCGGCAGGTTCTTGAACCAATTGAGCGCTGGTCCAGCTAGACTTGTAGAAAAGCATTTGCACATTAAGGAATCGTTCTCAGTGTTCATGGCTATTTTCAACTGAATGTGATATACATGATCAATCGGATCGGTCGTCCCGTCAAACAGAATGAAAATGGGCATGAATAATTTCCTCGGACTAGGAGCATTCAGAATTTCATTGGTAAACGGCGAGTCAACCGTTCGAGCCGCTGAGTGGAGGGCTTCATTCTCCCTCTGGAACCCTGCGGTAGCTCGCTGATCTATAAATCTCCTTTCTGAGCTTCGATAATCGAACGTTGCCATGGAAGGCCGATAAGACGGATCGAATGATCTTTCCTCCATAGACTCCTTGTGCCACGGTGGTATAGCTTTGTGGCGATCAAACTCCATTGTTTCTTCTCGCCCGAGCATTTCTTGATATGGATCGAAAGTTATGGCTTCGTTTCGTTTAATCTATTCACGCCGTGGATCCACATGAGTTGATCCTTTATGATTATCAACACAATGAGGATTTGGTGGCAAATCATTTGGCCGGACCTCTTCGTGGTGAAGATTTGTCTGGTTGTTCCCTACCTCCTCACCGTGATGTGCAGCACCGGGACGTAGAACTTTTTCTTCTGCCGGGAGCGGTCGCGGAATCACCGGAGCTTCTTGACGCTGTATTTCAGTCCTTAGCTTTGCATTCTCTCTCCTGAGAGCTTCGATCATGCTCATCAACTCATCAAGTTTCATCTACTGTACATTCTCTACCGGATTGGAGTTCTCACCCCCATTCATCATTCCGGAACGGAGCAAAAGCATGAATTACAAATTCTAAATCAGATCTGAGTTTCACTAACGCGAATCACGTCAGATCTGGACTCAAATTTTATGAATTACGTTCACCAATTGCTAGATCTGAGTTTTCCTGACTTTGAACTTGTCAGATTGAGCCACGATAGAACGAATCACCGCTGTGTAAATCTGACACCAATTTCTCAAAATCAATTAGGAATCAAGAACTTCTCAAGAGCAAACCGCAATCTCTCAAATCTGGATCCAATTTCCAGAAATCAAGCTTCGTTTTCACGAATCAGTCCGAATTAACATGATGTTGATCAAACAAGAGTCAATCTTCAACGTTCCCACAGACGGCGCCAATTGTAAATGCAAGAAAATATCTCTCCTCCTCTCTTTAGAATAACATCACATTTTTTCTATCTCCCCCCTTCTCTTTATCTTCTATGCCTATTTATAGGCAATTACAAGTGTTGTCACTAATTTCCTATGTTAGGCTCTCAGTCTTCGGGCCTTCTTCTTTTTGGGCTTGACCCAATCCGGTGGATCTCCGGTGCTGGGCCTGTGGTATTACTCTCTAAGCTTGGGGTAGAACTTGCTGCCTAACCCGGTGCTCTCCTCTCGGATCAGATCCGGCCCACTTTATCTTCAGTTTCCTCAGTAGTGTAATTTTTCAATTAGGTGGAGAAATTCATTTTAGTTACATAACTCGAGGTGAGTGTAATTAATAATTGAATCTCTAAATGTATAAGTACGAAGAAGGTTTATGTTTATTATGATTGATTACCTAATGCCATAATGGAATGTATGTGTGTGTAAATATATATATTGAAAAATTTTATTTATCTTTTCTGAGGTATATTAATATTTTATATAAATTTCTCTATATTTTATAATATCACTTATTTTTCTAATAATATCACATATTTTCTTTGTCAGTGATTAAAAAGTCTATTTTGTCTTTATTGTACTTGAAATGACAACAAAATTTATGGATAAAATGATAAAGAGGCAAGTGGAAATTATTAACCTTGTTGAAAAGGAAAAATAAAAAAGAGGCTGGAAATTATGAACCAAAAAATGAGTTACGTGAAATATTAACAAATCTCAAAAGAATCAAAGTAAAATTTACTTTTAAATTTTTTTTTTTACATCAATGTATAGTGGAAAATAATATCGGATGAATTGATTTAGGCATTGTTATGAAACACAGATCAATAAATCCAACTAAGATTTGAAAACATCAACAGAAAATTGTGTAAATTCCTGTAAATATTATCCGACCAAAAAAAAAGAAAAGAAAAAAAGTACAATAGTGTCTACCATAGTCGGTTCGCAATTGATGAGTGTTGAATGAATTTGAATGGTCATGATGCACCCAAAATCCGTATGATCCCAAGTCATGCATTATACAAGTATATACAGCCACCAGTTCTTTCTGGCAATGACACTAGTACATATTACATGACCAACAAATCAGTGCTAATTTCGTCTTTTGGAATAGTTATACAGACTTTTTCGTCACTGTAATTAAATAAAAATAAATAAAAAATATATATATTTCCTTTGGTTATTTACAAGGCCACATATTGCATGCATTTGTGGTTTTTCGTATAAAACAGAAGAGGTTTGGGACACCAGAGAGTTTACTTACACATAGAGAGAGATAAATACATCATATATATATATATATATATAGATGAATATATAGATAGAGAGAGAAATACACCACCGATAGACGAAGAAGCAACACATCGGCATTACAGAGTTCCCCCAAATCTCCACCTAAACTTATCGGTTTCGAAACCCTACGAATTTCTTCCCTTATCTTCCGCCATATTTTACCGGAGGTTTCGTCAAACTTTAGCAAAACTTTGAGCTTCAGACAACAAAAAGATAGAGAATGTCACATGTATTCAGTGAAGATCTGAGCCCGATCGACTCATCGACGCGATTCTTGAAAGCTTAAATGTACCGATTCTTTAACTGTTTGCCACCGATCCTTCTGGTTTTTCAGATTTTGAGGTGCGATCTGTGAGTCCTTTTATCTTCTCCATTTTCTTCAATGTACGGATAATATTATTGCTTGATAGCTTATTTGATGATCGATTAAAGGACTTGTTATTATTCAATCATGATCGGATTAAATTTAGTTTGGTTTGCATAGATTCGATCCAATTCGAGTTAATCATTGCTCAGACTTTTGTTAATTGTTTGTTTGATAGGTTTGATATTGATTTGCATCCTCGTTTCTGATCGTTTTGGTAAAGAGCGTTCATTTCTGTTGAAACAGATTACTGCTTAAAAAAGAAAGAATTTTTTAGATTTTAGTTTAGAATTGCAGCTGATAGATGTATGCTTTTTTAGCTATACTCGTGTTCATATTTCTGTGTTGAAAAATTGCAAATTGGAAGCGTACATCATAGAATCTTTCTCTATATATGTGTTGCAATATATATATATATATATATTTGCCAAAAATAGTGTCTAATGTCAAGTCTGTTACTTTTTCAGTACGCTACTTTTCTCGTCTATTTTCCTCTTATGTACTATGGGTTGGAATCTGATAGAGGTTTCTTGGAACTGTTTTATGAAAGAAAGAGCAAGAAAATAGCAACCAGTATTATCGTCATAAGAAAATAACAACCCAAATTATTGGAACTTGAGGTTTCATTAATATAATTACAGCTTGATATTTTTGAATCAGGATTTTTTTACTTCAGAAGATTACTTTCGGAGGTTTATTTTGTTTGCGTGGAAGGATTTCGTTTAGTTGTCTTCTTAAATTTTTTTGTTGTAACTTGTTTCTTTTGCACTTCTCTTTTTGGTTTCAGAAGATCTGAAGTGATATTGCAGGTATTAAGTGGAATGTAATTTGCATGGGGTGACGATGCCAGAGTTGCGAAGTGGAGCCCGAAGGTCGAAACGGCTTGGTGATCTTCAGCCTGCCCCTCAACCAGCCGATCAGGCAGAAAATTGGCTCCTGCCTACTCAAAACAGAACCAGGAGGAGAGTTGGGGGAGGAAGAGGAAGGGGTTCTAATGCCAACGCTGTAGCGAAAGGACCTTCAACAGCATTACCTGTGAGACCAACTACTGCTGGTAGAGGTAGGGGAATTAGGTTGATAGATTTAGACCCAGAGCCACCTTGTGAGGTTCTTCCTGAAGTTGCTGCTATAGGGGCCGGCGAACCAGTTTTTAATCGAGTGGAGGGGGTTGCGGATAGGGATATTGCGATGGAGGGTGGAAGCGGGGACAAAGTAATAGGAGTTGAAGAAGAAGCAAGCACAACTCCTGTGCCTGAAAGGGTATCTCCCTGTTTTCTTTGCTATTTTTGGAAATGCTGTAAATCAAGTTTAAAGTTGGATAAATTTGAGATTGTTGACATGAATAACGGAATCATTACTGCCACTACATGCCCTTTTTGCTCTTCAACTGACTGTTATTATTACATTTACCTTAAAAAGAATCTTTCAATGCTTCAGAGTCTTTTAGGAGTCTCTAAAAGGATTATCTTTATGTCGTTGAATGCAGGTACAAGTGGGTAATTCTCCTCTATATAAGATAGAAAGGAAGTTGGGGAAGGGTGGTTTTGGCCAAGTTTATGTTGGCAAAAGGGTAAACGGTGGCACTGAAAGAACAGGACCAGATGCGGTTGAGGTAGTACTCACATCACAACTTTGTGTAAGGTTTTCATTAATGATATCCTTCTAAATATGATGCTGGATAATATTTTCTGTCAGGTTGCATTGAAGTTTGAACATCGGAACAGTAAAGGTTGCAACTATGGCCCTCCTTATGAGTGGCAAGTGTACAAGTGCGTGCTACCTTCTAAATGCCAAGAGACACATATTTAGGTTTATTTGTTATTACTTTAGGTTAGTTGTCTTAAGTTATTATCTTATTTGCTGCCTTTTGATTGAAAAGCACTTTGAATGGATGTTATGGAATTCCATGGGTTCACTTCAAGGGTCGCCAAGGAGATTTTTACATTCTGGTGAGGTTTGATATAGAACTCAATGTGCAAATGACTTCCTTATTTGCTCATCATTCTGAAGGAAATTAAATAAAATTTTCAGGTCATGGACATGCTTGGGCCCAGTCTTTGGGATGTGTGGAATTCTTTAGGCCAGTCGTAAGACAAAATCTCTCTGTATCTTTGTCTCTATCTCTCTTGCTCTTTCTTGAACACTCGATGTAATTTACTTTCACGTGAACTGAATATATGTGCTTGTATACCGATTGGTAACTGCAACAGGATGTCACCAAATATGGTGGCTTGCATTGCTGTGGAGGCAATATCAATTCTTGAAAAGCTTCACTTAAAGGGGTAATTTTTATTGAATCATAAAATATGCGCTTCCATCTTTGTACGTATCATTCCTCGTAATCAGATCTTCCCGCAAGTTACCATTTAACTTCTTTAATTGTTCTTGTGATACTTCTACCAGGTTTGTGCATGGAGATGTGAAACCAGAAAATTTTCTACTTGGCCAACCTGGATCTGCTGATGAGAAGAAGCTTTATCTTATTGATCTTGGTTTGGGTATGCTTACCTTCGTAATGTCTTCCACTTCTGTCACTTTCTGTCCTCCCTGAAATATCAGCTGTATTTGTATTCCACTGTTTTAAACAGTGTATATGGGTGCTTGGGGATATTTACCCATGGTTCTAATTTACTTTATGGCAGACATCAATTCACTTTTAAGTAATTATCTCTAATGCTACTAATACTTTGTTGATTCAGCTTCTAGATGGAAAGATTCATCATCTGGTCAGCACGTTGAATATGATCAGCGGCCTGATATATTCAGGTTTGCTCATTTCTGAATGTTTGTCAATTGTGTTTTGACATGTACTAATAGTCTTCTCTGACAGGGGTACAATAAGATATGCAAGTGTACATGCGCATTTAGGTCGGACAGGAAGCAGAAGGGATGATCTCGAGTCATTGGCATACACATTGATATTTCTTATTAAAGGAAGGCTACCATGGCAGGGCTATCAGGTGGATTAGCACTGTTACTTCAATATATTCATGCTAGGTTTAATTTCGGCTGTCACATTTTATATTTTTAATTCTTGTATGCCTGTTTTGGATATTTACAGGGAGACAACAAGAGCTTTCTTGTTTGTAAAAAGAAAATGGCGACATCGCCAGAGTTGATGTGCTGCTTTTGTCCTGCTCCATTTAAACAGTTCCTTGAAGCCGTAACGAATATGAGGTTTGATGAGGAGCCCAATTATTCCAAGCTTATATCATTTTTTGAAAGTCTGATTGAACCGTGCACGCCTTTGAGACCAATTAGAATTGATGGAGCTCTCAAGGTTATATTTATTAACTTTTTCCTTTCTCTTTTTTCTTTTTAAAAAAATTGTAAGATACTATAGTACACTGACTTCAGTTTTGTTGTTCATGGTTTTCCCTTTCTTTGTCTTTTTTCCTTTTTGGCAATAATCAGGTTGGGCAAAAGCGGGGGAGATTGCTTATAAATTTGGAAGAAGATGAACAACCAAAGAAGAAAGTACGACTAGGTAGTCCTGCTACACAGTGGATTTCAGTTTATAATGCACGACGTCCCATGAAGCAGCGGTGAGTTGTTATATGTTCATTCAATGTCATTCAATGTCATCTAAAATGTGTTCTCTTTGCTTATTGGATAAAGCTTCTTTCCATGTAATATGTGTCTCATGACTAATCCTTTCTGATGTTATTATGCTCATGGAGCATTACCACTTTGTCTTCTAAAAGTCACTAATTTTGCATACGGAATTTCAAAATATAATAAATAAATTTCCTTCCATATTTGCTTGTTCCGTTGTGCTATGTTCTAGTACATAAATACCGAAAAAAGCTGATTATTATTTTTAGTTTGGAATAATATGTTAAAATTAAAGTTAGTATCTGTTATTTTCTAATGTGAAAATAGTTTTCTGCAACTCGTCTAATAGTTTCTCTTGTGCATTAATCCTCTCTCTCTCTCTCTATCTGTACACATATATATTTACGCGTATATAGACAGACCCCTATAATTTGGCGGGCATGGACTTGAATATCTTGGTTGACAACAGACACATAAGTTGGTTACATTTCCTCTAGATCACACAAGGATGTGTCTACATGTGTTTGCATGAGAATACCACACATAGAAAACAAAATAGTAGTTCCCATGTGTCAAGTTTCTGGATGGACATGCATAGCGCGGTTGCTCATATGCTTTTGGTAATAAATGGACTTTCTATAATTTTCCAGACTAGTGTCGGACATGGTGGACACTGTCATCATGTCTGTGACTGTCTGCCAATTCAATGACAATAAGTGACCTATTATTGCAAATTTGTTTCTGAATCCTGATTATGTAAATGCTCATTTGAATAACGACACGTTTTAAATGGATTTGTATTAGAGATGCTTGGCCGGGCTTGCTTCAAGCCTTTATTTAACATTTGTTTTAGTTAAATGTGAAGCATTCAATGAATTAAATGGAACATTTAATTATATCTTAAATTTTTTCTTGAAGGTATTTTTCGGAATCTTTTCAATTACTCATTGTGCTAAAAGTGATCCACACAATTTTTTATTGCCTTCAAATAATGTAGACAAGGCAGAAAAAGAACAAAATCCTAAATAAGGAAATAATTAATGGTGTTTCTATTTAGTCGATTATTTAAATTGAACAATATTAAAATATGTATAATAGATGAATATGTGGAAGACTTATATTATACTAAATATTGCAAAAGAAAAGCTCAACTTTTATTAGTAAATTTAGTGAGTGTGCCAAAGAAGGGTGGCACAACCCTTGTACATCCCTTTGGTAAGGAGTTCAGGAAAGGGTTCCCCCTCTTACGAAAAGCTCAAAAAATTCTTTTTCATGTGCTTAACATCTCCACAACTGAGAATGGGAATCCCAACTGACTCTGGAAGGCAGTAACCTTTAATTTGGGGTATATGACACTTGTCCATACATGCTTGGAAACATAATACTGTCGTCAGCATTTTGTCCCCTCTTAATTGTCAAAAATTTCCAGCACAGAGCACTGGATTTCATATCTTAAAATAAAAAAAATCAGAAGAACAAAGTATCCTGCTACAAAAGGATCAGAACGGTCTAAGGCAGGGGCAAAAAAGTCTTAAGCCCAGAAGTTAGCTGATATTAATTTATATCAGGAAGAATTAGAAACAGGTAAAACGGTCCCTATTTTTGGCACAAAACTGACAACTCCGTAGAAAGAAAAAGACGCAGAAACAATGAAGTTAGGAGCAGCTGATGAAAACTAGGAGGAAGAGCAGAGAAAGAAAATGGTTCTTATGTGGAGGGGAGAGACTACCTGAAAATTATAGTGTCAGGGCTGGTTAAAGATCCTAATGCCGTCATTGCCTTGTCAATTGGAGAATTGTTATTGTCTGTATATAAATTTTGTCGATTTTATTTATTTATTTAAATCATCCTTCAAGATTTGTTAATTATGATTCATGAAGAACTCCAGTATTTTTCTCAATTGCAAAATTGCTGCTCCATATACCATACTGCCTTTTAAGGTTTTATCTGGTTTTATTATTTTCTAAGTGGCCCAGCTTTTATATATATATCTTACAGTCATAACTCATGAGTAGTATTTGGAAACTTCGAAAATTTTACTATTACCATTAAAACAAATGAAGCATAAACCAATTTGCATGAACTTTTTACGTAAATCAGTAGTATTATGTATTGAAGGTATAAAATAAAGAGTACACAAAAACAAAAAAGAACACACGCACACACAACATATTCACATATATAATGCTTACACATGGTTGTACTCATGATGTTATTTTGGGATATTGTTGTGTCACATACTACAAAATGCAGGTCAACACAAGAAACTATTTCCCTCCCCATTTCTCCTCTATTTCCCTGCATTGTAGAAGTAACTGGTCTACCTTTCTTGCTGTGACACTGCACACACAATACTGGTTAGGGAGCACCTTTTGCCTTCTAACTGAAATTTCAACTGTTCGAATCTTACATTTGTGAGTAATATTTGGTAACTTTGAAAATTTTACTATTACCATTACAACAAATGAAGCATAAACCAATTTGTATGAACCTTTTACATAAATCAGTAATATTATGTATTGAAGGTTTAAAATAAAGAGTGCACAAAAACAAAAAAGAACACACACACACAGATATATATATATATATATATTCACATATATAAAGCTTACATATGGTTGTCCTTGTGATGTCATTTTGGGATATTGTTGCGTCACGATCTACAAATTGCAGGTCAACACAAGAAACCATTTCCCTCCCCATTTCGCCTCTATTTCCCTGCATTGTAGAAGTTACTGGTCTACCTTTCCTGCTGTTGTGACACTGCACATGCAATACCGGTTGGGGAGCACTTTTTACCTTTTAAGTGAAATTTCAATTGTTTGAATCTTCCATCAAGCCAAGTCTATATAAAGAAAGAAGTTATCATGCAGTTGAAGTTTAGATTTCTCAACATGCCAAATTCACAAGCAGGGAATATGGGCCAAATTGGTTGACCTAATTAAGTGGCCTACTTCGTTGATATCATATATGCTTAGAGCTGCATTTTTACATGACCAGGATGAATATCAGTTGGAGAATATCGTGCTCCACTTGCTTTGCTAGTTGTTATGCATGCATGACTTCCTATGGTTGCCTAGGCTAACCTAGATAAGTGAGAGTTAGCTGGAGTGGTGGTGAACCAGCGCATCAATGTTGTTTCCTCACATATGTTCCGAAGGTACAAGTTTAGATTGATAACTGTTAAGAGGCATGCGATCACTGCTTTTACAAAAATGGCAAAGGATATTTAAATCAGACAACTGTTTCAAATTTGCACTTAATGGTAGCTCACCTCTCTCAAGAATATCTAACAACCTTTAGATCTCGCTTTGGATATTTGTCGAGAACTTCTCCTAAAGAAACTAATGGATGCATTATTGAAATTGAAATCAAAAGTTCATATAGTTAGATATGAAGATATGCTTATTTAATAGATTGTCATGTATCATCTGCGTGCATAAAAATAACATTCTTGGCTGGCGAATGGGAGAGAAGATTATTTTGACCAAATTAGTTATTTAAATATTTTTAAGGTTAACAGTAACAGTAACATATTAAGAGTTGGCTATATTACATCTTCCTCATCCTTTCTCAATCATATTGAATGGTAGTTTCCATGTACGACTAATATTAGCACTTGTTTTTGAATGGTAGTTTCCATGTACATTATCTAACTTGAAGTTTTAGGAGATTATAAAATGGTGATTTGGTCATTGAGAATCTCTGGATGATGGGCCTTATTTTGTTACTGATTCTCTGAAACAGAATTCATGTTTACACGGGCCCATAGAAAAGACAATCCTTGTGGAATGCTGATCAAAACACATGTTTCTGGATTTATTTTTGTTTTTTGCTTCAGTAACTTTAGGTTTCACATCATCGATGTTGGTACGAGGTCTGGAATTTGACTCTCAAAGAGTGTTTACATTTACTGGTCACATGCATGAGATTACAATGTCTCTTTTTCTATGCCATAAGTGAATATTTTTTCTGGATTTGTAGATATCACTACAATGTTGCAGACTCAAGGCTGCGTCAGCATGTAGAGAAGGGTAATGAAGATGGACTGTATATCAGCTGTGTAGCTTCGTCAACAAATCTTTGGGCCTTAATCATGGATGCAGGAACAGGTTTCTGTTCCCAGGTTTATGAACTTTCTGCTGTTTTCCTGCACAAGGTCACTCTCCAAATGCATCGATGTTGTCATTTCTTGTGAATAATAATTCTTTGATCGTATTCTTATCACTAATTGTACTGTTTAAATACTCAGGATTGGATTATGGAACAGTGGGAAAAGAATTATTACATCAGCTCAATAGCTGGTGCAAGTAATGGGAGTTCCTTGGTTGTTATGTCTAAAGGTTGGCCAATTGAACTGTTTTTCTATGATTTATTGATATATATAAAAATAGAAATACATATATAAATATTTATAGACGTGTATATTTGTATTAGTATGTGTTACTTATGTATCTATATGATTCTTGTATCACTTTTACATCTCTCCTAATTATTTTTGTTATTGATGAAAAAAATATAGCATGCTTTAGGAAGCTTACAAATTGCTGACATGATATGTGACTAATATGCGTATTGTTAGGGCAATATGCTTTTGAAAGTTCTGGGAGTTCAGCGAGGGTGGGGTAGGATCCTCAAGTTAGAACACAAGCTGTCTTCTCTTGTTACTAATTTTTACTATTTACACAATAGATTGTATATACTGCGCAATTCAGTTTCATCCTGTCATACTTTAATGCCATGTTGTATTCTATCATCATCACTTCTACTAGGTTAAGTCACTGTCCTTCATTGCATGTGGCCAACTGATTGGTGGCAGATCTAGCAGGGGTGTGTGTTATCCTTTTATTTTTGTTCTTCTCCATTTTCGTTTGGGCAGGGGGTGGGGTGGGGCTTCCTCCCTTGTTGAGTTGTGGGTGTCAAAAGTTTACCAATGTGTTATGCGACGTGGCTGGTTGTTGGCTGGATTGAACTTAGAGGACTTACTGCTGCAATTATTGAATGCTGAATGCTAAGGTTGATCTTAGACTGATTTTGGCCTAATTGCTTATATATGAACTAGAATGTGGTTTGGCCACTAGCCTTCAACTGCTAGCTGATTTAAGGGATGCAGAGGATGATATTTTAGATCAAGACTGCTAAAGGAAGTAGTGACTTCTTTGTTGCTATACACATAATCGCCAAAAAAGAAAAAGTTCCAGATGTAGGAAGTTAGATAGCTGTCTCATGTCTTATCAGAGCATTTCTCGTTGACCTTGACATTTTCAGGTGTCAGGTGATTGGCAGGCTGCTTGTTTTCCTGTCCTGATGGTCTATTTTATTAGCCTCAGTGCTAGTTGGGCTAGGTGCCGACCAAGGTCATTTCAGGTCACTTTTGAAATGGTTAAGGTAACGAGCAACGGGGAATCAACAGGAGTCATGTCCTTATCCCATTGAATACAATAATTAGATGCTTAGGTGACATTCATCTTATTCTCATGTCAATCAATCCACTTCTCTCATGTTATATGTGAATAGATGTGGGCTGGGTTTGTGCATCTACCAGGTTGGAGCCCAATGCAGTTTTAAATGGGTTGGGTCTGAGATTGTTCCAAGTCGTCCAATACCACCTTGGTGTTAGGCAGCTATGGTCTTTATTGGGTCAATTGCCTTGTGTCTTCCTTCTGTCCACCTTGCGTGGTTGTCCCTTGCCATATTCATCAAGTTAATTTGTGATCATAACATAATGGGTTTGATCTTTATATAGGCGAAGCAAAAAGGCTTAGTGGTTCAAGTGCTTGGACAAATAGATTACCCACGTGAACCTTCGGTTGCCTTTTTCATGTATCTTTGCTCATGAGAAATCAATATCAACAGAGTTTAGCTTATTTTATGCACATGAAGATCATTTTAAATGAGATGATACACCTCAAAAACAAAAAATTAAAAAAAAAAACAAAAAAAAGAAGAATAATATATTATCAGTCCCTAACTGAAGTGTGAATAATTGATATTTCCTTTTCCCTCTTCCAGTGTTGCTACTACTACCTTATCGTGCTCTTAACAAAATAAGAAGAATAATGTATTATTTGTCCCTAATTGAAGCGTGAATAATTGATATTTCCTTTTCTCTTTCCAGTGTTGCTACTACCCTTATCATGCTCTTACTGCTAGTGTTGCCTTTTTGTCATGCCTAATTAATTTCAATATCTTGGTAAATGCTCATGTTGTAATATGTTTCGTGATGGCGTTTTATTCAATACTGTAAACAGGTTTGTCTTCATAACTATAAATAGAATATTCAGTGGTCATACGTCATTCATACAACATTCTTAAAGAGTGCTTTACTTTGGTCCTCTCAAAAATATCTTCGCGGATGATTATTTTTGCGGATAGATTTTAGCCATTAACGACATCAATTCTGTAGGGCTGGGCTTGGCTCAACATGTTTGTCTGGTTTTTAGGTATGCTTGAATGCAGTTCCACATCTACTAAAAAGCTCTTTTCGATCTCCTTTGCATTTGGATTAAGGGTAAAGTGCCAAAAAAAAAAAAAAAAAAAAAAAAACCATGCTATATAAAACATATGCAAAAAACAACGCTGCAGTTTAGTATGTGCATATAAATCCCTAACATTTCAAAATATGTGCAAATTGCCCCTTGACCGTCAATTTTGACCAAAAAAATTTATTAAAACCCGAAATAAATATTTTTGGTCTTCTACCATTTACAAGGATATAATGTTGGGCTTCTACCATTTTTATATTTCATCAATTTTGAACACTAGGGGGGGTATTTGCACATTCTGTATATAACTGTTTTTTTTTTTTTTTTTTTTTTTTGGCACTTCACCCTTTGGATAATAAACTAACACAACATATTCCTGGAGGGCTTCTACCATTTAGGAGGATATAACGTTGGGTGGAACTAAAGGTGGACATATAATTTATTTGGTTGACCTGAGTAGTTGAGAGGCTCTGTCTAGTTGTGATTTGGAAAAGTACATTATTGGAAAGGAAAGCATGTTCTCTATGGGTTTGGCATGTCCATCCAAGCTACTTGGGCCCGGACCCTAGTGTATTTTCCATGATCAAGCCTCTTATAAGTCGAAGTCCTCCACATGTTTTGGTGTTATGGTTCAGGCTGTGATGTGGCTTTACATGAGTTGGTGCTTGGTGTACTGCTTGTGAGCTAATCCTAACATACCGTCCTCACTTCTGCCATCATCACTACTGCAAGCATCATCATCAGTTCTGTTTATGTTATCTTACCTCATCTCTGGATCTAAACAAAAAAGATTCTGGTTAATATTAAAACCAAAATGTTCGCACTAATAATTACAAACGAAGAATCTCAATAGTTTATTTTACTCTATTTTATCTATTTTTTTGTTTTGTATGGGTTGTGTGCTTTTGTGTGTGTGTGTGTGTTTTTTTTTTTTTTTTTTCCTTCTGAGACAGTTTTTTTTTTTTTTTTTTTTTTTTGTGTGGGTGGGGGGGTGTTGATATATAGCATTAGATAGATTTAAACATCATTATCACAGTATATGGCATTCATGGTGTTGTATGAGTTTGCACTTTCACAAAGTTTCAGCATCTCTACAGTTCTCTATCGCGTGTTTGGTAGACTAATACTCTGCATAATATTTCCATCATATTGAGTGCAATATAAATTGATGATATATAGCTTAATTTTTTCTTGCTACCCATCATTTCTAAAAAATTCTTATTTGCTTCTCTTTTATGGTGTGTTCTGTAATTGTTTAGGAACTCCTTACACCCAGCAGTCATACAAAGTGAGTGAATCTTTTCCTTTCAAGTGGATTAATAAAAAATGGAAGGAAGGTTTCCATGTCACATCCATGACAACTGCTGGCAGTCGCTGGGGGGTAGTAATGTCTAGGAACTCCGGATATTCCGAACAGGTATGAGTACTACTTTTTAACATAACTTAATCTGTATGCCTTGTAGATATTATGACACTTCCTTTCTGACTCCTCTGTCAAACTGACTGATATCTTAGGTTGTGGAGCTTGATTTTCTGTACCCAAGTGAAGGAATACACCGACGATGGGAAAGTGGTTATAGGATAACTTCTATGGCTGCTACTGCTGATCAAGCAGCCTTTATACTGAGTATACCAAAACGTAAGATGATGGATGAGACCCAAGAAACTCTGCGTACATCTGCCTTCCCAAGCACCCATGTAAAGGTATGTACCTTGTGCTTATTTATTTATTTATTTATTTTTAATGAGAGCAGAACAGAACGCCCTACAAGGGGCGTTCTTGTCAGCTAACACTTCCCATCCTCGTTGGTTTTCTTCTCTATGGTTGGATAGAATGTGGTTCCTTAAAATTGAGGCACTTAGATCTTTCAAGGTTTTAATATTCTCATCATCATAAAGACAAAGTATAGATTCATGTAGTTCTACGAAATGCTAAACTTGTTTTGCTTGGCAGATAGTAAGGACAAGAGAAGGTAGAGCAGATGTCATTTTCCTTTTGTTATCCTCTCCTAGTTAAATAAAAATAGAAATTTTTAACTTCACAAAAATGGTTGAGAATTAGATAATTAAAAGGAAAATGAGATGTGAAATTAAAATTTTAGCACTTGTGTTCCACACATTTAGTTCTCTCTCCTCTTTTACTTATCAAAGCCATAGGGAAAATTATATTTTACCTTGTTTGGTAACCAAACATGTAGGCATGATCTCTTTTGACATTTTCTTTATCTTTGAGCTCTGCTTGTAAATCCTTGAAGGAAATGGAGCATTAGCTAAAGAATAGTAGTAGTTGCAGTAAACATTTTTTTTTTAATTCTACCAGTTCATTTATTTGTTCCTTTCACAGGAGAAGTGGTCCAAGAATCTCTACATTGCATCAATTTGTTATGGTCGAACTGTTTGCTAATGGGTGGTGGAGTTGCACCCCCTTTTTTTCCGTCTAGAAAGAATTTGAAGTTTGAAAGCTGAGAGAGACTTTATTTCAGACTCTTGTTTTTTGTTGCGTGAGCTAGCTCTCTCCCGAAATAGAAAGAAAATCGAAGCTTCTCATGTAAGATCTCTACTTTATGCTTTCTGTAAAAAAAAAAAATAATAAAAAAAATGACAAAAATATATATATATATATATCAAAATTTGGAGTTGCCCAAGCTTCGTGACCCAACAGACATGAGCTTGTAGAGACAACAGTGTGTCGGAAGACCTTTTAAAAAATATATATATATAAATTACATTTGAGAGTAAGTAACCAGGGATTTGCAGCCAAGTTATGGTTTCATAGCTGCCATTGTACTCTTAAATTTTTTATCAATGGGAAACAATTGCTGTATAATTTAAGTCGATTTAGCTACTTGTCTTTATATATGTATGTATATATATTTTTCAAGTTGATACTTACACACTCCGCTAGGGAAATTGTTTCTCAAGCGGACACAACTTGGTATATATTTTTCAAGTTGATACTTACACACCCCGCTAGGGAAATTGTTTCTCAAGCGGTTGTCGTCTACATATTTAGACCTCCAAAAAGGAAAATGTTATATTCGAAAAACGGGAAGAATAATATGGTCTCGTCAATGTCGCCAAAAAAAAATAAATAAATAAAAAAAAAGAAAAGAAAAATAACCCCACAATTTGAGAAACACGGTTTCATGGGAATTAAATGTCACGTGACCAATTGTGATACTTTAAAAGACAAAATTATCCTGTTGGTTAGTTGCAAATTCGAAGACCTCAATCAATCTTCTTCCTCAAGTTCAATGGAACGTATTCCCAAGCAAACAAAACTTGTGAATGGGTTATCAACCATGTGACTGTATTTCTAGCATCATCTCCTCTCTCTCGGACACACACCCTCACTACTGCTCTCCCTTGTCTCTCTCACTCAACCCCATCTCTACTACTCAGCCGCCATTCAACTTTCAATTTTATTAGAAAAATCAATACTCTAATTCAATAATTTTGTTTAAAATGGAAAAAATGGAACCCCTAACTTCTCTATTCTAATGCAAACTCCATGAAAAAAATAATCAAATTTAGCACCCAAAAAAAAAAAAAAAAAATAGTGGATGAAATTGGCCATGACAACAAAAGAGATAATTGGAGAAATTGAATTCAGAGAAAAGTCGAATGGTTTTTCGGCATGACCTAACAGTAGTAGCAAATCATCGAAAAACGGATTGGATCTGACTGTTGTAGAAGATTTGTCGTTGGATATCGGAGGAATTAGGCTCCCTGCAAACAAAAGCGAACTCAAAGTCTTCGTCCTCTTTGTCATTCTTGTTCACTTCTTCGTGTTGAATGATATGTTGCTTTTCCTAAAGATTCCTCACCTTGTCCATTGCCGTAACATTACAATTTCCCCCTCCTAAAATTTTTCAATTTTTTGTCGGCGCTTAACCGACACACTCAATATCTACTGCAGAGTTGGAGGTAATGATATCTATTATGTGGATACCTTATGCCACACAATGATAAAGTCTATTTGCATAGCTCAGGAGTGAGTCTAATTGAAAAGGTCTCAACTAAAATTGTAGTCAAGAACGCAGTGGTTATGGTCTTGAGATATGACTTACATGGGGGTAAATAGGCATGTTCTCACTTTTTGCTTATATCTAGACTTAACTATGATTTTACACAATTTTTTTATTATCTATTGAATATGGAAGTTAATATATTACAAATATATCAATTCAATTGTGATTGGTGAATTAAATAGTCTTTGTATTCAATTACTTGTTAAGCACAAGACCGTTAAACAAATAAATCAGCAATAAATAAATAAACTATTTATTTAATTAAACAAATAAATTAAGTAAATTTGTTAAATAAACAAATAAACTAACAACCATCCCATAGTTGTATTTGGACAACCAAAGAATTAAGTGATTAATTTAGTTTAATTGCTTTTAATCTTTAAGCGCATGCATCACATAGCCGTATATAAGCAAATAATATGTAAAGTAAATAAAGATAAAGACTTGAGCACCAGATATACGAGAAAAAACCTTCCCCAAACGGTAGATCAAACAACCTCGCGACTTGGCAAGGCCAAAAAAATCACTGAAGAAAGAGATTACAACTAGTCCAGTTTAGTCACCATGAACTCTAGTTAACATCTGTGATACCCCTCGATTCTAGAACCACGGGTGATCAAGTCCGGGCACAGATCCGAAGGATACCAGACAATCAATATATAAACAAGCAGGAATAAAACTGAATTAAGAATAAAATAATTATACGCTGAAAAGAATTCTAATTGTAAAACCTCCAAAATAAAAGTTTTAATATAAATAAATTTTCAATCCGTACAACTCGGGAATCCATCTAGTGGACCCCTAATATTTCCAACTGATAAAACATTTACAGAATTAAAATCCAAAACCAAAATAAGAAAGAAAATCCTATGTAGTCGAAAGAGTGAGTGACTGTATCTGCATCACCACGATCAAATGCTAAGCCTGGTACTCACAAACACCTGAAAAATAAAGGTGGGTCAGGCCCACATGCAAGTTCCATCCTACTACAATCCGTACATAAACCCGATACGCAGATACATCCTAGATAGCTCGGCAATATCTACAATAGTCCATAGATATATAAATACACACTATAGGATGCTCACTAGCCTATAACATAGTTCAGCCTGGGTAGAAGGTGACATATAAAACACGTTTTTCAGCGGCCAAGTACCTAGACCTACCAGGGAACATTAGCTATATCTAGCTACTCAACCTTTGCAATATACGCACCCTAACCGTGATCAGGAGACTCAAGCTCGTATCACGGTACCATAAAAATAAATATAAATTCTTTCCTAATGCAGAAAAATAAAATAAACATCCGTTATGTCGTTCAACTGTTTTAGTTGACAGGACATGCATCCATGTAGGATTTAACTATTTTAGTTAATCCATTCCGTATGTATGAAAGGGGTAGGACTTAGCTTTTTGATCTAATCCATCCCTGATATGTCACCGTCCCATACCGGTACATATAATGCATATGATCCACACATGATGCACACTCAAAATGAACATCAAGTATATCCAGAACCAACATAATAGAAATCAGATATAAATAAGCTCCTATCATGCATCCAGTGTATGATTATATTCATAGATCCTCCTTTTAAATTGTTAAAATAAGAATAAACAATTTAAACCATCCATTTCCATGTAATTGACAGAACAGAAAATTAAGACAGTTCAGCAATTATCCTTCACAACATAATATAATGAATATCAGAATTTTAAACTGCATATTATACTAGAATTCCAAAACAACACATCCATACTAGTTCGTTTAAGATGTTAAAATGATGACTAGCATTTAAATCCTCCCATATCCTTTACGGCATGCAAATTTATAATTAAATCTCATGGCATATATGTAATTCCCCATTATAAATTCTGTGTCGGATATAATGACACTCCAAAGTTTAAGTACATCATATGAAACTTCAAAAAGTATTTTATATGAGTTCCATTTAATTTGCTAACACAAAACTAGCAACTAATCTTCCACTACTCCCGATAATATGCAGCTTATTAGATAAGGGTACATGACGTCATAACCAACATTCCTGGAACTGAGCTACGCTAAATATATTATTGATATAAATTATAACAGTAATTACAATGTCAGTCCAAATTAAGTTGTCAAAACAACTTAGCAAAACAAGCATTCCTCCTTCCTTGACAGTAGGCCTATTATAAGCTTATATTTTATGACATGCATTTAGGTTTAGCACCTTAGCATAAACCAACTATTTGAAAGCTTTAACAAGTTAATTTTAATCATTTAAAACCCCCCATCACTTTTCAGTAATTACCTTTAAGCCCCTGAACTTCAAAAAAATTGCAGAAAACACCCGTAGGGGTTTTTTTTTCCATGGGAGCCGGCTCCCCTTTATTGGAGCCGGCTCCTAGGCTTCTAGAGCCGGCTCTCCCTCATGGAGAGCCGGCTCTCTCTTCATGGGAGCCGGCTCCCACCATTTAGGAGCCGGCTCTCACCCTTGAGAGCCCCTCTCCGCTTCACTGCTTCGTCTTTGCTTCCGGCAAAAGTTCCAACTGTCTGTCCTAAGTTTCTTAAGGATTTTAAGAGTTCAATTTAAGCCCTAATACTCCTAGAAACTCCTTTGATTTCCCTAAGAATAGTTTGGCAAAAATCTAATTTGAAGACAAAAACAGTTTATGCAAACAACCAATTCAGTTCTTCTTCGCTTCCGGCGAAGTCCAGTGTCATATCCCAAACTTTTGTAGCATTCTTTGGATTCTATTTAAGTTTTTATAGTCCTAGACCCTCTCATACTCCAGTGTAAATCAAACGACAGAAATTAAACTCACAACAGAATAGTTTAAGCAACAACGGGTTTAAACTTTAAAAACACAGAACAGATTTCAGAAATCATCTAGCAATGCATAAAATCCGTTTTTAATAGTTTAATCAAGTTCCTGGAGTCTATATAAGATGCACAGAACACAAGTTTATGGGGAAAGAGATAGTCTGAAACTTGCCTATGAGATTTTGAATTAAAACCTCTACGCCGTCTCTACGTTTCAGAATTCCCCAGATTGTTTTCCTCCTTTGATAAACCTTCTATTCCTCTGTTGATTCTTAACTTACCCACAAGCAACTCCTCTGCTCGTCCTCTATCCTTGCTCCATTAGCCTCACAGATTCTCTCAAGAACCCTCTCTGTTTTCCTCTCAAAATACTATTCCGTGAATAGGGTTTTGTTTTTGTTTCTCCAACCCTAGCAGACCATACAGTTTTATATATATAGGCTATTATTTAACCTATGTTTAATTCAATTAAATTTAGCAGTCGGCTACACCATGAATAAATGAAACCCTAACTTAAATTTAAAATAACCCTAAAATATAAACCATATAAGCCATAAACAAGACACGTCAGTTAAAACTAATTAAATTAAAATAAATAAATAATTAATTTAAAATACCAATTCAATTAAACAATTAATTTAAAACCAATAAAAAATTAAAAGAAATCAATTAATCTAAAACAAATAATTTACACTTAATCAATTAAACAAACCAATTCACTATATAACAATTAAATTAAATACACACAAATAATAATAAATCAACTAATTTAACCAAATAACAAATAAGTCCAATAATTTAAATAAAAATGAAAAACAAACAAAAATATTCCCATTTTATCCTTTTGAAAACTAGGGGTATTACAACATCCACACTCAATAAGATACCAAACCCTCAACACTCGTTCACCTTGTCATTGATTACTCCCACATGTTTCATCCAACGCTGTAATAAAGCACTCCAGAAGATTTCTAGGTATTCTCCAGTCGATCCATCTAACTCGTTGGCATTGTA